ATAATTTTCTTTATTTACTCATTCCTCAAAGTTTAGTTTCATACTTTATGAAATTATAATATACTTTTTATCCTACTCAAACAGATACAGAAACTGTCTAAAATATGTCGATTAAACAAAAGAGTGGGAGTTATTCCAAAGGACTACCATGCAAAAACGAAATTTTTGTTATTTTCACCAAACAGCAAGACTGATCCTTAGTTATGATACATCAGCATAATCAGAAAAAAAGCTGAATTCAGACCTCAAAATCCAAGATGGCACCCACAAGAAAAAACAAAGTTGATGATAGTTTTCAAGAATCCAGAAGTCGTATTTTAAATACAACATCGCCACGTTGTAACAGAGAAAAAGTTGCAATGATAAAGTTTTATTTCATTTTATTATTATTTAAACATTTTAAACTTGCTTAGTTTTTAAAGCGAAATAATTCCACGGAATGTATTGAATAGAACCCAGTGACCTAAATTTAAAACGGTTGTACAGGGCGTACAAGAAAGCGGAAATGGGGCCCGAAAGCTCACAGGAGTCCGAGTCGGACCGAACCTCGCAAAATGGCCTCTTCGCAAAACTTAAAAGCAAAAAACGAGGCAGGAAAACTGCTCTACTCAACATCCCCAATACAGGATGCTAAAAAAAGGCTTTGTACACACCATCAACCAGCCATCACCAGTTAAAACGACAACAGCAAGATCGACAGCAACATCAAATGCACCAACATCCAAATCAACACAACACCGTTTTCCCACTTACCAACACACATTTGTAATCCACGCAACACCCGAAACCACTAAGGTTCAACTAGCCCTTAAATGGGAGGAGACCAACCAGAATAATCAAGACATTATACGAAGAAAAAACAACGCAATCCCTCCAACTGTTGATGCAACAGCAAACAATAGTATCGTTCAAGCTAGTAAACGCAAGCAACGGAACGACTCAGCAACCGATCTCTACGAAACAAATCACACGGTCATACTCAGTGGTCGCAACAGGAGTTGACCTAGACATAACCGACGAGATGTTTTTGAAACACCTAGAGCAGCTCGACCTTCAGATGCGGTTTGGCAAACGGATAGTGTCAAGACAGAGAGGCACTCCCACGATTATGATCAGATTCATTACGGGGCATCCCGGGAGCTACGAAAGGCTGAAAAACTTGCACGGCTGTGCAATTTCTCGGCATCGTTTTCAAAATCATGGAAAGCAAACCACCAGCACCTATTCCAGCCCTATGCAACAAGTACAATTTGTTTGACCACAAAACCGAGAATCGTAAACAAGCACCGAAATGCCACAAATACCAGGGACCAAATCCAACTATAAAGTGCCAGTCACCATTACTAGTGAAGTGCGCGGCCTGCAATTCCGAAGACCACGCAGCATGGAGCATGAAATGCTCGACAGCCCACTTTCAATGAATACCTAACGTCAGGATCAAGAGCCTCAAAAAGCGGACGACCGAGATTGCAGAGACCACAATGACGGCAACTAGAATACATACACCTATTACAACACACGACCACATCATAAACAAATACAAACGTCAACTTAACAAAACTAACAATATCAACAAAGACGTAGGTATTACTGAAAGAAACCAAACTAAAATGCTCCTGCCCGAAAGACACTCTCCACCTGAACCCTACGAACAATTGAGACAGACAGTAACGAACATACAAAATTCAATATGATGGTACGTTACGCGAACGTCAACGTAATAAACAAATAAAAACTACAAACCTACAATTAAATTGAACGTAATGACACTGCATGATTGTAGAGACTAAAACAAAATTGGGACAGACACCAACTTACAGGAACTGACAGTGCATATGTCGACACGGCAATACCATCAATCACGCTAGGGGCGGGGTACAGTCCTGCCCAAACTCAAATTAAAGATAGGCAAAGCAAACCCTCCCCACCTCAACAACCCTTTGAACAACTGTGCACATTTTACTATACCCTATCTAAATGAATTTATACCCATATTTCTAACATACATACACCCACACTCCAACATGGAACCAAACATACTGATCAAGGCAAGTCTCTACAAATAATCAATCATTATAAACGACTTTAACCTAAACAAAAACAAAACGAAACAACTTAACAGATTCTTAAATAACTGGGACTTTATAACAGTTTATCTTGAAATAATTCATTTCACCAATATGTAATAATGTTCACATTTCAATATTGACGCAATAATTATTAACAATTATGAGCCATCCAATATGTTGCATATAGCCCATATTGTACGAATATATTTTGCTCCCTGGGAAGAGTTTCATTTTTTGGTAAACGATCACAAAATGTATCCTTTATTTGACCTAACTCATATAATAAAATGCTTGCAAAATCACTTTTTACATTATAGACTTACATAATGCGAATTAAATGACAAACCCGGGTGCTAAAATTTGTTACAAATTAACCGATGCGCATATATCCCGAAGGAAAACAAAAAATCAAAGTGAAATAAGCGAATTTAGTTTTAAAAAGTTTTTAGTAGATCGGTTTATGCTACCTTCTATTTTCTGACAAACACCGATATTTTAAATGCTCGAGATACAGCCGATTTAATTCTATTTTTTGACAAGCTTTTTGATTCGCTAAATTCTTTTAAGTCTTCAAAGCCGTTAGGCAGACCAGTTACAACTACTTCCGAACATAACAGTAAATCAAAATTTTATAAAGTAGATACTTTCACACTTAGGCCTCCTTCAATTAAAAACCTTTTTATAACAATTAGAAATATTAAGTCTCTTTTTAAAGAAATGCAGAAACTTGGATTTAAACATTTATGCACAAGAACCCTCAATCGAGATTCTATTAGGCATTCCAACGACCTGTCAAAGCCGTCAAAAATGGCCGCTTGTGGGCAAACATAGACTTGTTGTTATCTTCTTCAGTTGCTTTCCGTGAC